GTTGTAATGTGACAAAATATGGAAAAGTTCAAGGGGTATGAATACTTTTGCAAACCACTGTACATTTACATAAACTAAAAGATTCAGCAAAATTCCTTCAGCTCAAACAGTCATGAACTTAGRATGGCAAATTATCACTTCTAGATTTGACACTTCTCGACACCCTTGTGCTTGTGGTCAGGGTTCTATTGTGGTCCCATTGCCCGAATAGTTCCTTCACTTTTTTCCGAAAATTTTGTCCTACAATCACGTAAAGAATGGGGTTGAGAACGCTGTTGAAGTAGGCAAAGTAGGTGAAAACCTGACTGCAAATTAGCAGAATTTTGAGGAAGCTGCACTCAGTCAGAATGTTTAAATGACGGAGCAAAACTGGTATCTTAATCAAGTGGAACGGAACCCAACAGATCAGGAACGCCAGCAGGACTGCCAGAATCAAGTTTGTTGCCTTGTTGTCTGTTTTCTTTGTATTCACTCCTTCCATTAATCTGCTTCTCAAAGTTTTGCAAATTTTTACTGTGCAGAAGAAAATAACAAAAATAGGAATAACAAATCCAAACACAAAAATCATTGCATAACTTGCTATATCTGCTGCAATGTTTGGATGATTAACAGAACAACTGGTTTTATTATTATTATTATTATTAGATATTCCTCTGTAGGTGTAAGCTGGGAGACTAAAGAGGAAGCCTAGAATCCAAACTAGCAAACAGCCTAATTTGGCATACTTTGGCCTACGTATTTTTGTGTAAGACATTGGGTGCACCAGAGCCAAATAACGATCAAAGCTAACCAAAACCATGAAGTAGATGCTGCAGTAGACATTCATCAGAATGCTTGCACTGGCAGCTTTGCACATGACTTGACCAAAAGTCCATTCATATTGGTTGGACACAAAAACAGCCCAAAAGGGCAAAAAAGAAACCAGAAGCAGGTCAGCAGCAGCCAAGTTGCTCAGGTAGATCTCAGCTGTGGTGCAGGCCTTCTTGTGGAGGCAGAAAACCACGAGAACGAAGACATTAAAAACAATTCCCAGCACAGAGATGAGCAGGATGTACACTGGAATAAAAGTGAAAGTCCAGGTATTGTCATATGGAGAACAAATGTCATTTTTTGTTTGGTTTTGGTCTCCAAGCACAAAAGTGAAGTTGGGAGGGGAGCTGCAGAAAAACACAGGAGAACAARTCAGACAAAACTTTATTGTAGTGTTAAGTTTGAAAAAAGTAACACATCACATTATATACGGCAATGTGATCATTACTACACCATTTATAACACAATAAATAACCCATTAGCTAAAGATGGTCATTAAGGTCAGAAAGCTTTATGTTGTGATGATAGTGAACATTTACATGCATTTTTTTGTGTGTATGCAGTATTTGTATGTTATTTAGCACCAGAGTGCACTTAGTCATAGTTTCAGCACATCCTTCCCACAAGTTTCAGCCCTTTAAGGTATCGATTATAAAATTAAAGCGTGAGCAGACATGCTGCTTAATCTGTTTTCTGTTAATGTTCATTAAATTACACCCTTTCATTACCTCATTATATAACAGAAACGTTGTGGGACAAAATCAATGTACATTTAAAAAGTGGACAAGTTCAAACAACCGACAAAACTGGATTTAAAAATTGTTCACAATTTGTTAAAAAAATCATTGTCTTGTTTTTGTCATGCTTCTTGTGTTTTATGGTTCAATTTATTAGAATTTTCTGTTTCATTGTTTGGTCATGTTGTGTCTAATTTTCTCATTTCCTGTTAGTTTTCTCCATTTCCTGTTTCATGTTATCCTCAGCAGCTTCTTTGTATTTTTCCAGCCTGCCACGCTCACCTGTCCATAGTCAGTAATCACCCATGTGCTTCCACTCCCCAATCATCCTCAGTTGTATTTAACTAGTGTCAAGTCTTCATCACCCTGTTGGATCATTGCCTTTTCATGCCTCGTCTCTGTCCATGTTTTCTTTTGTATTTTTGCTGGCCACACCAGCCCTTTTGTTTCATTAAATCAGTTTTGTTCTGCATTCAAGTCCTCGTGTCTGCCTGCATATTGGGTTCCACACCAATCATAACAGTTTTTCAGTTGTTTATACAGCTATACACATCAAATTGGTAGAGTATTACTTTACAGGAAGACTGTTAAGAAATGCATGACCTTTTTTTGTTTTTTTTTGGCAAACATTGATACAATCTTTATAGCATACACAWGCACATACCTTGTGGTTGAAAGATTCATTTCTGCTGAAGAAAAGAAAATCAATGCTCCTCCACGACCTCCAGCTTCTGTTAGATGTCTGTCTGTGACAGAGTATTAAAGGAGAAAGTGAGGTGGTGTCAGACGCATTTGAAGTGTTTTGCTCTGCTCCCACCCTTTGTATTCTGCCCCTCCTTCCCATTTTCCAAGTAATTTGTGTGGCTGTACGTAAAGGGAGAAGTAGTTCTCAGCAGTTAAGATGAACACAACTGCTGTGAATCAACATCAGTCATGTAAAAAAGTATAATTTAATTCAATTTAATATCTGATTTATTATAATTTTAAAATAAAATACTTGTGGTTTATTAAAACAAGCACCATATTTTTGTAAAGCTTTTAAATGTATTTATGTATCCTTTTTTGAAATACACAGATTTTTTTTTCTGGTTCTCTATTTTAATCAAGATTCTTGTTTCTCTTTGTTTACATCAGGAATAAAATGAAGTACTTTTGTAATTTACAGCCTGGAGTGAGATTGTTTCTGCACTGATGTAGTTGAACTTCTGGTGTTTTTCTTGAATTTTGCCCAAAAGAGCAAAAATAGAATTTTTTTATCAATGTTTACACTGGCTGGAACTCTCTGGGGATTGTGCAGCTTCTTCATTTGTTTCTTGATTTGAAGTTTTGGTGTTATTTGTAAGATAACATCATTTGTACAATACMTCTGACATGTTGCATGGTAGGACATCTATTAATAACCTAAATAGTAGAAGATGCAATAAACTCACCCCCCCCCCCCCAAAAAAAAAAAAAAAACAACAACATGACTTATGTCTGTAGACATTGGTATTTAGATTAAAAAATACTTCTAATGCATGTATAAAAAGGAAACCCATTTTCTCCAACAGATTTTTTTTTGTAGTGTTATATAATGTTATTAAAATAATTGATCAGATTTAATACAATGTTTTATATTTAATCGAGTTTGAGAATGCTAAAGTCCCTGGTTGTATTTGTTTAGATTTGATCATGGCTTTAATTGCACTAAAAAAGCATCCAACAGTGACACTTCAGTAGTTTCATATTTCTAAAGAAAAATGAAAATAGACACTTTATCTTGAATTTGTTCCTCCTTTTTTACTTTACCTTGTTTAGTTGTAAATCAATACAACTTTGTTTTTCATGTATTTAAAGGGAGGTAACCAATATCAAGCAGTAACAATAAATCAATTATCTCTGTAAAACAACATTAGTGTRAGATCTGATTATCCCCTGGGCTTTACGGAAAAGGGTTATTGCTCGTTTGCCACTCAGCAATAAAAATGTTTCATATTTTACCAACCCAGCACCAAGTAGAAAATAAATATGGTAAATGGKATATGAAGTTTACAAGACTGAAACTTAGATATAAAAAGAAAAAAATGAAACTCAAAAAAAAAGTTCGTACTGGTTCTTTCTTCACGCAGTGTCCTTTGTTTTCAGCAACTGAACTTGCAAGAGGATTTAACAGCTGTTTTAGACCTGATGCCCTTCCTAAAGCAATCACAGTCCACATGTGTGGAGCAGAGGGTAACCATGGAGTGCAGAGGGGTTAAGGGCCTTGCTCAAGGGCGCATATTGGGGCAAACGAGAGTGGATGCAAACTTGGGTGAAATTTAGGGACAGTAGAATGTAAAAGAGCTCTAATTTCTCTACATGGCTAAAAGAAAGCCAAACTACTGTGAGAGCAGTGTTTTATGTAACTAGTACCATTTCAGACATGCAGTGGAGAGGAGACAGRGCCTTCTCTGTTAGTGCCCCTTGTGGAACACCATGCCTTTGCACATTTGACAGGCCCCTTCACTGTCCATTTTTAAAAACRGTCTGAAAACTAATTTTTACACACTGGCCTTCAACCCAAATGAGATTTGATTGTACTCAACTTTTWTTGTATTGGTGCTGATTTGATCTCTTTAACGCGGTATTTTTATTGTGCTTTGAATTGAATTTTTAATCTATCATTGTATGCCACTATTTTTATATGTTCCTTTATCTTATTTATTTCTGGTGTTCAGCACTTTGTTTCAGCTGTGGCTGGTGTTAAAGTTAGATGATGATGATGATGATGATGATGATGTTTTTTTTAAAGCCAAATACTTTCTGTCTGGACAAACTCTGGTTCTTGCCTCTTCTTCCACAAAAATAACTTTTTTGTTGTTAATGGATCTCGCCCAATTCACTGTTTTTACGCCATTGGATTGTTGATTTGATAATATTTAAAACTGGATGTTTTCATCCATTTGGGTATTAGTAAAACAGATTCTTGTAAACATGGGGTGGATGACTCCCTGGTGAGGTGTTATGGGTACGTCCCACCGRGAGGAGACCCAGGACACGCTGCCTGGAGGGACTATGCTTCTTTGCTAGCCTTGGAACTCCTTGGGATTGATTTGTTATTTTGTGTGAAATGTCTGTCAGCATGCTAAGTTTTTTTTGTCTACCAGTTCATATAAAAAGGCAAAAACTATAAATATATCAATCAGCCATCTAGCTYGCAATTAATGAGTAATGAGCATTTGTGAACTGTTTTCATGCACACACACCCAGGACTTGATGAGTCATCCTCCCCAGCATTTTAATTAGTTCAAATATTTCCATTGATCAAAGAGACCAGATTAATTGCCCCTTTGTTTTATGGTGGACATTTTCACACCAGGGTCTACAAGTAAGAACACCTACAAGGTGTTGCAAGAGTTCAACTTTTATTTGTGAACAAGTGTGATTTTTCTTCATCAAGGAAATGCATTGTTTCTCCTATGGATCTGATAACAGACACTTTCTTCTCTATCATCAATTACAAGTGTTGGCTTGTCATATGGTGCACTCTGATGATGCGTAGTGCAAGATGGAACATCAACAGCTTAACAAATATGTTTTTTACGATAAATACAGACTTGTGGTGGTCTGTGAATTCATTAGTTTTTAATATTTATTGTTTTAGATTTAATTTTGTCAAGATGTTTTATTTTTTAATCTATTCTATTTAGTTCTGTTCCCCTGTGTTTCATTGTCTCATCCAACTTCTTGTTCCTCAATCTCCATTGCTTCTCGGTCTTGCCCCTCATCTCACAACTGTTCCTTGTGATCATCAGACACAGCTGTTGTTTACTTCACCACTCCTGTATATTCTTGGCTTTCAGTCCAACGTCACTGAAGCATACTTATATGTTCCTTGCTCTATTTTGTGTGCTCCTTAATTGTTTATTTAGTATTTTAAATTTTATAAGATGGTTCTAACTATAAACATGTCCTAAAAGACAAGCTAAAGAAAGCTGGTATAAGTGCAAAGCTTAAACCAGTACTGTTTTGGAAAGGTTTAGGAATGGCACGTCCGGGAGTCAAGATGTTTTGTTTTCCAAGTCAGATCATATTCTCTGTGTACTGCGCAAAGCAGGGGTGGGCATTTTCCCCCCCAGGGGGTCACATGACAAACTTGAGTTATGTTGGAGGGTCAAAACCAACAAGAMATTKTMCTTAATTCTGCTTAATAGTCATTTTTAATCCATGTTAAGAGCAGTAAATTAAATATTTTGATTAGCTGCTACTGCTAATTAGGACATGTGTTTTAATGCTTTTCAGTTAATTTTACTTACTCATTGAGAAAAAAACCATGGAAGCTCAAGGAGAACATGCAAACTTCGAACAGAAAAACCCCAGGGCCAGACTGGGACCAAACCCAGGACTGTTTTTGTTGTGATGAATTAGTGTTAACCACTCAGCCACATGCTTAAGTACGTCAATAAAATACTTTATATTAATTCCCAAAAATCCCTGTGATCATCATCATCATCATCTTTATTTTGTAAGTTAATGTTTTATGTTTTATTCTGAGAAGAATGTTTCAAATTTAAGAGAGTCCCTGTCATGATTTAATCCATATCATACTCAAAATATTTTAGTTCTAAATTTAAAAATAATAAAAAAGTAAAATCTTTGTGATTTATGCAATTTGAATGTTTATTAAGTAAAACAACAATTACTCAGTCTTTCACTATTTGTTGTGAGAGTTACAGTTTACATCACTTTTCCAAGAAACATACAACACCATAAAAGTGGAAATATGATATTTTCATTGATCTACTGGCAAAAGCAAGAATACACCAAGTTAAATTAGAGCTTTGGTGTAATTACCAATGATGTTCAGGTTATTGAATTTAGATAAGTGGGAAGTGGGAAATGACCAAATAACTGGCAGATTACAAGAATAAAAGATGATTTGTTTACTTCAAAATGTCAAACGTATTCATTTAAATTCTAACTCCTGAATTTATTGGGTCTTGCTGGCCTGCTTATAGTAAAATCACTGCAACAGTAAAACTTATTGAGGTACATGCCACAAGTGGGATGATGGGGTTTACTAGAGCTAGCTCACTCTAATTTCTAACCGACAAGAACAAGTTGTTTTTATTTTTTATTTGTTTATTTATTTTTGTCATTAGCCCTTACATAACTGCTGATCATTTATTGTCTGCCTTCTTGTTCAGGGTCTCAGGAAACTTGTGCTTATCACCAGAGGTTATTTGGCAAGAGAAGAGGTACACCCTGTCCAGGTCACCAATCCGTCACAGAATCAAAGATGGACAGTCATGCATACTGGCATCTAGTGATAATTTTGTGGCCAATTAACCTGACATGTTTTAGCAGGAAACCTGGGTATCCAGAGAAAACCATGCATGCTGAAGAATAGCAAGCATACACAAAGAGAACAGGCAACTTCCACGTAGAAAAACCCAACCTGGGAGTCAAACCTGCAAATTTCTTGCTGTGAGGCAACAGACATTGCTCCAACTTGTGAACCAATATTAAAACTATTTGTTTAAAAAAAATCCAGAGCTACTACGGCTTCTTGACTAATTTCAGAGAGAGCAATCACAGTCTTTGCTTCCTTTGATGTTCAGTTGAAGCAACAGTTGAAAGACATAAGCTCATTATCTCTAAATGTCCTGCTCTCCTTTTTTAAAATACATTTATGAACACAGGTTACGGCTTTGCAGCATGGCATCATCAGCCATTTCTTATTTATCCTTTTTGATACAGTATGCTTAAGCTCTACTTGCCACCCACCAGACAGCAGTTAGAAATGCTGGTTGGCTGTGTAAAGCACATTCACACACCCATATTGTTGTTTTAAAACAGCAATTATAAACCACGCTAATGGCAATGATAAACATGGGTTTGTGAAAAAAAATTTTTTGCTGATAAACTGACTACTTGCACTACAATCCTTTTCTACAGAATGCATTAGAAGTAATAGAATCACCAAAGGACTGGGTCCAAGATTTAATACCAACATTGAACAAATATTTTGTATCTCCTGTTATGTACAGTGTGTGCAACTTTTCATTATTGGAGGTATTAGACAGCCAAAATAAATGACGACGTCACAACATGAATATAAATGCATAGTTCCTTTGTCAGTGTGAAGATTGAGGCTAAAAGAATTGAAATTACATTGTAATTTTTTCTATTGCATGTTTACATCACAAGCCATTATTGAATGATTTAACAGATTAAATAAACAAACACATACTTTTGCAATTATATGTTCAAAGAGTCTGTTATCAAAATTTATGCTTCAATTTCTTGTCCACAATATCCATTATCGTCATTTGTATCCATTAATTCCACAAATTGTGGATTTAAACATCCTCTGTTAGTGCTGCCTCACTGTGAAACATCAATATTATTGTGTTAAGTGTTACAATAAAACAATTTGAGAGTGAAATCCTGTATGTTGTACCCATAAGCGGTAAAAGGAAGCAGAGGGCAGGATGTCATCAGTGTCACATTTGATCTTTTGGGTTAAAAATGACCACGGGCCTAATTTGCTCTGTTCTGTTGAAATAAGTGGACACAACTGAACGCTGATATGTTGTCATGTCCGACCCTCTGCGTTCACGTCTGACCCTTCTGTAGATGGCATTGACTTTCCTCCTAAAGTACTGCCCAGAAAAGACATACAGCAGAGGGTTCAGAGTGCTGTTGAGGAAGGCCAAATAYCCTGAAACTTGTCCTCCCACGTTGAGAGTGTGAAACCACAGTGTCTCATCCAACAGTTTGACATCGCAGAGTGTGTCAAGGAAAGTGAATACTTGAAAGGGAGTCCAACACAGTAAAAATAGTAGTGTAACAACATATACAAGGACCGTGGCCTTGGTGTCATTGGTGTCATGGAAGCCTCCACTTTCCGTCCTCTGAGCCAAAGTCTTGATTATGTTCCAGCTACTGAAAACAATAACCAGAACAGGGAGCAGAAAGCCCATCACGTTCATTAGAATCTGATGGGCAAGCTTCCAAGAGCTTCCATGAGCATAATCCAGAACACAGGACATTGTTTCAAATTCCTCGATGAACATCACCTTTCTGTGAACTATGGTTGGCAAGCTCAGCAGGAGCCCCAGCAGCCACAGGATGAAGCAGATCACCTTGGCATAAAGCCGCCGTCTTAGCCACCTAGCTTTCATAGTTTTCACAAGTGCTAAGTAGCGATCTACGCTAATCATAACAAGTGTGTAGATGCTTGTGTAGAAGTTGATGCCAATCATGGAGTTGACTAGTTTGCATAAAGCATCTCCAAATGACCAATGAAACTCGTTCAGGATATAAATTCCCCAAAAAGGAAGGCCACAGAGCAGAAGAAAGTCAGCCAGTGCCAGGTTGCTGAGATATATCTCTGGTACAGTCAGTCGATCCCTTTGGACTGCAAACACTGCCAGGACAAAGATGTTCAAGAGGAGGCCTAACAAGGAGATAATGAAGATGTAAGGGGGGAGAATGGTGTGGATCWTCTCCCATTCTGCAGATCCCGAAGATGCTGATGGACCAAATGAGGRGAACATGCTGCTGTTTTCAGGCCAAACTGATGCTGCAGTTACTGGATTCAGTTGCTCCATGATCTAGAGAAAATATTGTGCATAACATATTAGTAATATATACCTTCTTGCACTACATCGTTATTTTTTGCTATGAAAACACACACACACACACACACACACACACACACACACACACACACACACACACACA